CGGCCTGGGCAACAAGAGCAAAACTCCATCTGAAAAAAAAAAAAGACAGTAGGGGAACTGTGTCTATGGACTGGGTACTATGTGAAAACAAGCAACAACCTCATACACCAAGACCTGGACTCAGCCAAGTGGACTCTGGAGCCTGCATTCTTAACCCCCACGCTGTCTGATCAAGAGCACCCTAAAACACCTCAGAGAGAAGCTAATGCTACTGTTTTGGGCTTGAATACACTATACTGAACTTTTCTAACTCACTGTCATCTAGTGCTCACCTGCCTTGTGCAGTAATGAAGGCTGAACTCTGCCATTTGGACCTACACCTCTTCTGCAGTCCCTGCTACATTTCCAGCAGAATTCCCTCCGGCATCCATTTCCTCTGCCTTAGCAACTGAACCCATAGTCAAATTCACCTCCCTGAAGCCTTGCAGCTCCCCCACAGTGAACCTGACGCTTCCTAACTCAAAAGCCACTCCTTACCTAAATTCTTCAGTTTGAAATCCTTCCATTCTTCCCTGACTATGTGACCTAGAGCACATGACCTTTCATCTCTGAGCTCCAGTCTTCTTACCTATGAAGTGGGGCCAATAACAGCATCTATCTCAGAGCTGTTGTGAAAATCAATTGAGATAATGTAAGGAAACTTTATCTTATTTATTTATTTATCTTTTAGACGGAGTTTTGCTCTGTTGCCCACACTGGAGTGCCATGGCATGATCTCTGCTCACTGCAACATCCACCTCCCAGGTTCAAGCCATTCTCCTGCCTTAGCCTTTCGAGTAGCTGGGATTACACGCCCAGCTAATATTTTTGTATTTTAGTAGAGACAGGCTTTTACCATGTTGGCCAGCCTGGTTTCAAACTCCTGACCTCAAGTGATCCACCTGCCTTGGCCTCCCAAGGTGCTGGGGTCACAGGTGTCAGCCACTGTGTCTGGCCTGGAAATTTCATGTTATGCGAAGCCTTTCCATGGTGCCTGGTACACAGTGGATACTGAATAACTTTCCATGTCTTCCCTTTCACAATTTGGCCACATCTCTCCCTCCCTCCTTTGCATGCATCCACCCATCCAGCCCTAGTCTCCCCTCGGTTTAGCTGGCTGGAGGCTGCCATTCCTGGGCCAGCATGTGGTTCATGTGCTCTGCTGATGATATAACCCTTGGCATTCCCCTACCACCTCCCCGAATCCAGACTCACCCCCTGTGAGTGCAGATACTCCACAGTTTTGCCGATGGTGTGCAGGACGAAGCTGGCCTCCCGCTCTGAGAAGAACTTCTGCCGCAGGATCTTGTCCAGCAGCTCCCCGCCCCGCATCAGCTCTGTCACCAGGTACACGTGTTTGCCATCATCGTACACCTGCCAAAGACCTCACCGTCAGGCTCTTCTCCCCAGTGTCAGGCCTGGGCGCCCTAGTCAGCAGCATCCCAGAGCAGGGAAGAATGACATGAGCTTTAGGCATGTGTTCTGCTGTGCACTTCAGTGGCCCTGCCCTCCCCGAAAAGAGATGCTGACACTGGTCCCCTGATAGGCAAGGTCTTCAGAAAATGCTTGAGTCTGAAGGAGGGCCCTTGGGGTATGGCCAGACTGCAGAGACAAGGGTCCTCCTTCACCTTCCCATGAGCACTGGAAGGAGGATGAGAAGTCAAAGGAATGGAAAACCTGACACAAATCCTGGAGAGTTGAGTTCCTGGTCCCCACCCCAGTCTCAAGGACCCCACTCACATCTTTCAGAGTGATGATGTTGGGGTGCTGGCCGTACCGCAGAAGAATCTCAATCTCTTCTGAAGGATCCCGCTTGCTCTTGTCAATGACCTGAAGAAAGGGGCATGCACATGGCAGTGTCAGTGTGACAGGCTCCAGGGTCCTCCCCTGCTACGGAGCAGGCCTAAAGGTCTCAGCCAACACATTTCATCCATCTGCAGAGCTCAGGCACCACCCCTCCCCGCCAGATGGGGACCTGCCCCCAGCCCGGCAGCCTTGGCCAAGACATGTTCAGGAGGCCCACCTTGACAGCATACTCCATGTTGGTGGCCTTGTGGACACAGCGCTTGCACACAGAGTAGGAGCCCACACCGATCGTCTCCTTTACCACATAGCCGTCACTAAAAACCACGTTCTTCCCATGGAGTTGCTGTAGGAGACCAAAAATTGTGGCTGACCCCTGGCTCCAGAGTGCCAGGGGTCATCCCCCAGCACCCAAGGTCTTAGCTCAGTAGAGACGGCACCAGGAAAGAGCCAGGAGGCTTGGGGTGGAGTGCTAGCCATGTGACTGCAGGTGAGAGCCTACCCCTCTCTGGGCCTCAGTTTTCTTTTATTTTTTTGAGATGGAGTCTTGTTCTTTCGCCAGGCTGGAGTGCAGTGGCACAATCTTGGCTCACTGCAACCTCTGACTCCCGGATTCAGGCGATTCCCCTGCCTCAGCCTCCTGAGTAGCTGGGACTACAGGTGCACACCACCACACCCAGCTAATTTTTAAATTTTAGTAGAGACGGGGTTTCACCATGGCCAGGATGGTCTTGATCTCCTGACCTCATGATCTGCCCACCTCTGCCTCCCAAGGTGCTGGGATTACACGTGGAAGCCACCACGCCCGGCCAGTTTTCTATTCTATATGACGGGCATACTTGCTGGCTCCCAGCCTGCCTGGACTGCAGCCTGTGGTCAGAAGGCAGTGTAGGGAGTGGGCAAGAGGGTCACAACACACATGGAGAGGTCTTTAGTTCTAAAAAGCCTGAGCAGGCCTGGGAGGGATGCAGGAGCCCTGAGCTGAGTTCCAGCTGTGCTACTAACTATGGCTTTGAGTGAGTTGCCTCCCCTTTCTGGGTGTCACAGCTCATCTCAAGGTTCTGGGACATTAGCCATAGCAATGCTCAATGGTGCTTAGCGTGTGCTGTGTGCCCGGCACTATTCTAAGCACTTTCATCAGGTGACTGCACGCCCCGCGGACAGCCCTGGTTTGGGCCTGCAGTCCGTGCATCCAGTCTGATTTAGTATTTGTCCTGGATAAAGAAAGATGTCCCAGTTTGGAAAATAAATGACATAGTCACTTTAACTTTATTTTTAAATTTTATTTATTTATTTTTTGAGACAGAGTCTTGCTCTGTCACCCAGGCTGGACTGCCATGGTGCATTCTTGGCTCACTGCAACCTCCATCTCCTGGATTCAAGCAATTCTCGTGTCTCAGCCTCCCAAGTAGATGAGACTATAAGTATGTGCCAACATGCCCGGCTGATTTTTGTATTTTTAGTAGAGATGGGTTTCACCATTTTGACCAGACTGGTCTGTTTAAACTCCTGTCCTCAAGCAATCCACCCACCTTGGCCTCCCAAAGTGCTGGGATTACAGGCATGAGCCACCATGCCCAGCCCACCTTAACTTTACATATATTAACTCTAATAATCCTCATAACAACTCTATGGAGGAAGCTTCTATCATTTCCCCCATTTACAGATGAGGAAACTGAGGCACCATGAAGGGAAGTGTCTCATCCGAAATCCATTATCTGGTCAGTTGCTCATGTCTGTAATCTCAGCACTTCGAAAGGCTGAGGTGGGCGGATCACTTGAGGTCAAGAGTTTGACACTGGCCTAGCCAACATGGTGAAACCTTTTATGTACTAAAAAAAACAAAAAACAAAATTAGCTGGTGTGGCGGCGTGCATCTGTAGTCTCAGCTACTCAGGAGGCTGAGGCAGGAGAATCACTTGAAGCTGAGGTGGAGGGTGCAGTGAGCTGAGTTTGTGCCACTGCACTCCAGCCTGGGCAATAGAGCAAGACTATGTCTCTTAAAAAAAACAAAACAAAACAAAACAAAAAACCCAAAGTCCATTATCTTGTGAATCTGGAGCCCATGCAATGAGCTCTAGAGTCTATATCCTTGCCTCTCAACCCAAAACTTTCATGAAGCAGTGAAAGTGTACAAATGGGGAACAAGTGGAAAGAGACACAAGTCCTTTGCTACCCTCCTGCCAGAGACATGACAGTCACTCTGCACCACCACCCTGGGAACCCCCTGGCATATACTCAGACCCTGGCCTTGTGCTGGGAAATGTATATCCATATCATTATCCAATTATCAGGGCCACCGTGTGAGGTGGGCCTTACTGTCCCTGTTTTATGTTGGACGCCCTATGGGTCCCACAGTGGCATGAGGGTATGAACCTGGTTCTGTCTAACTCAGAGCCTGTATTCTCAGCCATTCTGCTGAGGAGCTAGAAAAGGAGAATGGCTCAGCAGCCCCTACCCCCCTCACCTGTACCACTGAGTGCAGGGGTGCCTGTGGGGCACGAGGCTTGCCGTCATCCTCCATCAGGCCAGTGGCCACGAAGCTGAAGCCCCGGAACAGCTGATGGGCCCCAGCGCTAGGCGGGATGCCTGGGGAATCTGTAGGGACGGGAGGGGATGTGAGCCTGAGGAGGTATCCTCCACCCTGAGCCAGCCCAGCAAAGGGAGAGCACAGGGCCTCCAGATCTGCCTCAGTAGCTGGCCATGGTGGGAGCCTGCAAGGGGCCCGTCCATCCTAGGCATTAGCCTAACTGCTCATATGTGTTCAGTTTTTATTTTATTTTATTTTATTTTTTTTTGAGACGGAGTTTCGCTCTTGTTACCCAGGCTGGAGTGCAATGGCGCGATCTCGGCTCACCGCAACCTCCACCTCCTGGGTTCAGGCAATTCTCCTGCCTGAGCCTCCTGAGTAGCTGGGATTACAGGCACGCGCCACCATGCCCAGCTAATTTTTTGTAGTTTTAGTAGAGACGGGGTTTCACCATGTTGACCAGGATGGTCTCGATCTCTTGACCTCGTGATCCACCCGTCTCAGCCTCCCAAAGTGCTGGGATTACAGGCGTGAGCCACCGCGCCCGGCCCTCATATGTGTTTAGATCAGTCCAGTCCTGACCCATGAGGAACATAAATGACTCCCACCTTCACTGGCCAACAGTTCACCACTTCCTGGATATTCCTCCCCAGCTTCCCTGTCTTATGTCAGCCCCTTCAGGTCTACCTCTGCACAGCAGCCAGAGAGAAGGTTCCAAGCACAAATCTGCCCCCTACCTGCACCTTTCAAAGGTTCCCCTCTGCTTTTGGGAGTAAGCCCAGCTCCTGAGTCTGGCAGTTGAGAGCCTTGTGATCCTCATCTCTCTCCACGCCACAGCTGAGCCATGTTGGACTTCCCAGATCCTTAAAGGGGTCTCTGAGCCCTTGCACACACTGTTCCCTTTAACTAATCCACTCCTTGCCTATCCTTCAAGACAGCTCACACGCTCCTCCTCTGAGAAGCCTTGGCTGATGCTCCTCCGGCCCCTGACCCCTGTGAAGCTGCACCTGTCACGCTGCCCAGTGGACTATGTGGAGAAGTGCTGGGCTCCCTGTCATCAGAGGTGTGCAAGCTGCAGTGAGAAAAGCACCCCCTCTCCTAAAACATGCCCTAATAGGAGGCCTCCCAAAACTAACACTCTACCCACCACCCACTGGCAATATCTGGCCAGAAAGTTACGATTTACCAGGCTCCTTCCCAGAAGCTCCCTCACTGGCGTCTTGCAGCAACCCCAGGGAATGCATGGGTTTGTGGCTGTGCCCTTGTTCCAGATAAGTTCACTGAGGCCCAGCAGTCAGAGCAGCCAAAGCTGATTCCCATGCCTGTCCTTGACCTATGGGCACTGTCACCTCTGCTCAGCCAAACTGTTTCCACCACACAGTGTGGCTGAGTCAGATTCTTTATCCCTGACGTGATGGTAAGCCTGTGTGTTTGGTCTTCCCCGTGGGCTGGAAGGTGCCTGGGGCAGAGGTCCTGACTTTTCTACTGTGGCCTTCACCACCCACACCCCCCCACTCCCACTCTCTCACCAGACACAAAGAGATCCACAGAGCCCCAGAGTGAGAGAGCCAGGCAAAGTGAGACAAGGACAAAGTCAGAGTCCCACGGAGCCAGAAACTCACCCGCCTGCCCACCCACACACCTCGGCCTGTCACTGTCCCTGACTATCTCTGCCCCTCAAGCTGCCACCGACTCCCAGCTTCCCTCTTGTACCAGCTCAAGACAGACAAAACAAATAAGGGACGCACCCTTGGGTGTGCGAGACGTGAACTCAGTGTCAAAGTAGAAGGTGTCATCAGGCTGAGCAACTGCTGGCTTGAAAGGTGGCTTGATCTCACGACGGTACAGCTTCTGCACAGTGGGGTGGGCACTCTGGTCACCACAGCGTCCCCAACAGCCCACCGGGAGTCCCAGGCAGGAGGAGGTGCTGGGCCTGGAACATAGGCCATGTTGCCCAGCAGACAAGGGCATGATTACTTGCCCTCAGGAGGCCAGCCTTGTCTTCAAGGGGATGCTGTTACCCTCTGCTCCTGCATCTGGGGCCCTCGCTGGCAGAGGCTCCCCTCCCACCACCCTTCCTGTGGCCAAGATGGCTGGAGGCCTGGCCAGAGCCTTGGCGTGGGTGGACACACTCACATTCCAGTCAATAGTGGAGTAGAAGACATGCCGCTTGATTTCCTCTGCCCCATCAGGGCCGGAGCCTGAAAGAGCCCAAATGAAGGGTCTGTCCCTGGATGGTGCAACTCCCAGACACCACCCTGCCCACCAAGCAGCCTCACAGAGCTCTGGGACCAGCTGCTGGGGCAGAGGGGAAAATGGGCTCACCCTGCCCAAATCTGCCCAGCCATCACCCTAAGGCCTGGCACCCACTCAGCATTTTCCACTTTCTGGAGCCTATGATGAAGAAGCTCCAATATACTAATGGGAGAAGGAAGGCCCAGAGAGTTTAGGTAACTTCTCCAAGGCCACACCATCAGGACAGAAGCTGAGGCTTGTCCTGAGACCCACAGAGAGCCCCACCTCATTCCAACGCAGGCCCCATCTCTGTTCGTCTTAACCCATTGACCTTTTCAACCATGGGACAGGCTATCACTCCATTCGACCCCAGGGGCCTGGACTGGACCTTACATAGCTGGTCATGAACCAGATGAACCCAGGAGCCAGGGAAGCCAACACATACTGAACACCTACTACACGCCAGGTGTGCTCACAAAACCTCATGTAATCAACAGAGCCCTGAAGCAAGCTTGGGATCATCATCCCCCATTGAGATGAGGAACCTGGGGCGCAGACAGGTGAAGTCACCTGCCCGGGGTCACTTAGTTCATAAATGGCCTCATTTGTTTAAAAAATATTTATGGAGGGACTGCTTCGTGCCAGGCAATGGGGACCTGACACAGAGGCGGGATTGGGACCTGCGCCTTCTGATTCCTGAGCTCATGCTCTTCCTCTTGTGCCAGCAGCCTTGGCGGAGAAGCTGTGTGGGGGCCTCTGTCCTTGTCCCCAGAGGGAGTAGGGATGACTCAGTTCCTGCCTTCCCCCTACACACAGGTCAACCCCCCGCTCCACAACACCACACATGGAGCCAGAAGGCAGGGTGGCCCGCGGCATTGTCTGCCCACACAAAGGACAACGGCCCCTTTCAGCCCAGATGTGGCCCCGTGGCCCAGGCTGCAGCTGTACCCAGCTCCCCACCGCCACATCCCCTCCCCTGAGCTGGGGTTACTTACCGAGCCGGTTGGCAGGATTCCGCTTGAATAGGGCCCGCAGGAGGCTCTGGGCTTCAGTGCTCAGAAACTGGGGCATGCCTAACTTCGCCCTGAAACAGTCCCCGGGACTCATCAGGGCTGAGCCCCGCCCCAGAGGCCCCATTTTCCCCCAGCCCTGTCCAGGCCCAGTTCCCAGCTCAGTCTAGACAAGCCATCCACTAATTTACTTCCCACAGAATTCAGGGAGCCCACCCACAGTCCCCTATGGAGGAAAGAGGGGCTCTGGAAGTTATCATCTTTTTTGTTTTTTGTTTTTGGAGATGGAGTCTCACTCTGTAGCCCAGGCTGGAGTACAAGTGGTGCAATCTTGGCTCACTGCCACCTCCACCTCCCGGGTCCCAGTTCAAGCAACTCTCCTGCCTCAGCCTCATGAGTAGCTGGGATTACAGGCATGTGCCACCTGTAATGCCCAGCTAATTTTTGTATTTTTAGTAGAGACGGGGTTTCACCATGTTGGCCAGGCTGGTCTTGAACTCCTAACCTTGTGATCTGCCCGCCTCAGCCTCCCAAAGTGCTGGGATTACAGGTGTGAGCCAACTCGCCTGGGCTGGAAGGTGTAATGTTTAACCCAGAGGAGTGTCTCATTAGTGAGGGAATCTGAGGCAGGGACAGGGTAATATTCTGATCCCCACTGGGCCTGGGGCCTGGGGCTTGGGAGAGTTCATTGTTTTTTTTTTTTTTTTTTGAGGTGGAGTTTCACTCGTTACCCAGGCTGGAGTGCAATGGCACGATCTCGGCTTACCACAACCTCCACCTCCTGGGTTCAAGCAATTCTCTTGCCTCACCCTCCCGAGTAGCTGGGACTACAGGTGCGCGCCACGATGCCCAGCTAATTTTTGTATTTTTAGTAGAGACCGGTTTCACCATGTTGACCAGGATGATCTCGATTTCTTGACCTCGTGATCCACCCACCTTGGCCTCCCAAAGTGCTGGGATTATAGGGGTGAGCCACCGCGCCCGGCCCGGGAGAGTCCATTGGTATCAGGGCAGGGCTGGGACTTACTTCAGAATCAATGTCATGGTCTCCTTCCGGTCCTTCCCCTGGAAGGGCAGGGAGCCCGTCAGCATCTCAAACTACAGAGGACAAGGGTCTATTCAGGAGCTGATCCCTGACTCCCCCACACCTCCCACCTCCCCCCATCTAGGCCCCTCTGCCCTAGTCCCAGGATCATCCAAGTCCACCTGGAGCAAGAATTATGTCTGTCCCTCTTGCCTCGATAACCAGACCACCAGGTAGGTGCAGCAGTGGGGGCACGAGGCTGGGGAGAAGCCCAGCACTGAGTTAGGCATGTCCCAGATGGGGTGAAGCCTGGGATCTTCCAAGGAAGAAAACTGCAGCTGTGTGTAGGGTGAAGCCAGCATGGCTGTGAGAGGAGACGGGGAGAGCCCTAGAGAAGATCAACCCCCTCACTGTACGGACGGGGAGACTGAGGCCAGAGGCTTGGGTGGGATCCTTTATCCTTGTCTGGGCACTCACCATCAATACCCCGTAGGACCACCAATCTGCACTGTGGGAGTGGCCCTGGCGGTTGACGACCTCGGGGGCCATGTACTCCACTGTCCCGCAGAAGGAGTAGGCCTTCTTCTCGTGGTCAATGGCCTCCTTGCTCAGGCCAAAGTCTACAGCAGGGAGGGCAGGAGGATACATCTCAGAATCCCTGTCTTCCTTGCTGCCACCCACTGCACACCCAGCCCCTGTGACCAGAGGCTGGAAGGCATAACCCCCATGACACTCAGGAGGAAGCTAAGGCCCTGAGAGGTCAGGTGACTTCCCCAGCATTACACAGTGAGGGTCTGGGATTCCAACCGATGGTATTCCAAGTCTGAGGCTTGGATTTCTGACCACTTCCAAGTAACTGGCACAGCCTCTCGGGAAGAACGAGCCCCCAGCACTCAGCCGAGACCTATCAGGACCTTGTTCTGCCCTCCCCTGGGGCCCAAGAGGGCAGGCGCCCTCCACTCACCAGTGAGTTTGATGTGGCCCTCCTCATCCAGAAGGATGCTGTAATAGAGGAATGGGGGTCAGGGCCCCTCAGCTGTGGCCACCGTGTGGGTGGTGGTGTCACCACAGGGCTGTGGGAGCTGGGCTCAGCCCAGAGGAGGTGCTCTGCCCAGTTCTCTCTGATGACCGGGTGGGTGTTGCAGGGTGATGGCAGTGTCATGCGGGTATGTTGCCTATCGTTTTTGCTAATTCTTGAAACAACTGTGTGAGGTAGGTGCTATTAGGGCTCCATTTTGCGAATGAGGAAACTAAGGCTCAGGGCAGTTAAGTAGCTCTACGGTCATCGAGCTAGTAGGTCTAGCTAGTAGGTGGAGACAGGATTTGAATACAGGGCTGCCTAACACTAAAGCCAGATCTTATTCCAACTCACCACCTGCCCCTGGCTCCTTAGTTATCATTTAACAGTAGATATATATATATATATATATATATATATATATATACACTTTTTTTTTGAGACAGAGTTTCACTCTTGTTGCCCAGGCTGGAGTGCAATGGCACAATCTCAGCTCACCACAACCTCTGCCTCCCAGGTTCAAGCGATTCTCCTGCCTCAGCCTCCCGCGTAGCTGGGATTATAGGCATGTGTCACCACGCCTGGCTAATTTTATATTTTTTTGTAGAGACAGGGTTTCTCCATGTTGGTCAGGCTGGTCTCGAACTCCTGACCTCAGCTGATCTGCCCGCCTCGGGCTCCCAAAGTGCTGGGATTACAGGCATGAGCCACCACACCTGGCCAAGGGTAGTTAGCTATTAGGGAAAATTCTAGAGGGCTATATCAAGGAAAGATCTTTAAAGGTAGCAGCATCTCAGATGTCACACTAGATTAGCAAAAAAGGTGGGGAACATACCTGCTTGGAATGTACCTGGTCCTTGGTAATGGTAGCATTAGACTGGGAAGCTGCCACTACCACCCACCCCACTCACCCATTCCTCAGATTGCCCAAGACAGGGGGACGTTCCTGGACAAAGCCTTGCCCACCCACCTCAGGATGGCCCTGTTCTGGAAGAGGCCTCCCCTGGGGAGGCTGGGTGTGGCTGGAGGCTTCACTCACTTCTCAGGCTTGAGGTCTCTGTAAATGATACCCAGGCTGTGCAGGTGGTCCAGGCCCAGAGCCAGCTCGGCCAGGTAAAACTTCACATCCTCTTCCGTGAACATCACCTGCAACAGACAGGAGGGGCTTCAGCAGGGACCTCCTCTTCCTTAAAAGCGGGAGCACTGGGTAGTCAGCAGCTTCCTGGTCCTGAAAGGGCCACCCTGGGAGGATCCAGGCCATTTAGCCTTCTTGTCATACAGAGGATTTGAAGTATGAAATGACTAAGATGCAAGTCACTCATTGTGGCATTGTTCAGAAATAGAAAGGACTGGAAAGGCTGGAATAAGCTGTCTCCCCTGCATAATGGAGTGCTTTGCAGCCATTAACTAGAACAAGGAGTTTCTCCATGTCTTGATATGGAGTGAGCTCCAAGATATACTATCTTGAAAAAAAGCAAGGTATAGAACAATGCATGCAGAATAGTACTTTTTACATAAGAAAGTGGGGGTAGGAATTCAGAGCATAAATCGGATTTGTTTGCAAAAGAAACATGGGAAGGTTAAATAAGAAACCAATAAAAGGCTCAGCACGGTGGCTCACGCCTGTAATCCCAGCACTTTGGGAGGCCATGGCAGGTGGATCACCTGAGGTCAGGAGTTCGAGACCAGCCTGACCAACATGGAGAAACCCCGTCTATAAAAAAAAAAAGAAACCAATAAAAATGTTTACCTATGGATAAGGGGCCTGGGGTGGGAGAAAGACTTCTTCATGAATATTTTTTTTTGAATCATATAAATAGATTACTTATTCACACATTAAAATAACAATTTAAAAAAATGTTTTTTAAGTTGGGTTCTCTTTAAAGTCTGAATTGTATGAATGGTCCCATTTTCTAGCTCAAATCCTTTTCTATTGGTTCAAAATCCTTTTGGATGACATGTGGGACATGACTGCTAAAGTCTCTGGCTCTCTGGGCGACTTTGGGCTTCTCTTCAATCTTCACAGCTCTGTCCAGAGCAGCCCTGGAAGAATGCAGGTGTTTAGGTGAGAGGAACCCTTAGTTCCCTGGAGTTTTGTTGGGAGAAACTCTCAGAGGCCCTGCCGGTGTATGGCCTCCATCCCAGGGTGAGTGGTGTTTCCTGGGCCAGGGGCTGCTAGGCAGGCCTGGGTGGTTGCAGGTTCAGGCCATATTGAACACATTCTGTACAGGGCCCTGGATGGGTCTTGTCATTCCCCAGCTCTATCCCGGGGCTCTTTGGCAGTAGATGTCAGCTCACCTCTTTTGAGAGCCGTGTGAAGAGGTCCCCACCACGCAAGAAGTCCAGAATGAGATAGAGCTTGCCCTCGGTCTGGAAGGCTGGGGAGAGGGAAAAAGGCAATGGTAGAGTCAGTGGGACCTTGTGACCTGCTCCTCCAGCCCCAGCTCCCTTGGCCTGCCAGGCAGGCGGTGGGACAGTGTACAGACCCAGAGGCAAGGGTGAAGGACGAGTGGGGTGGGAGCTCAGGTAGGGCCTGCAGGTTTACCATAGTGCAGCTTCACCACAAATGGGTGGTTTACATCAGCCAGGATGTCTCTCTCCATCTTGGTCCGAACGCGGTCACGTACTGGATAGACAGGAAAGGAAGTCACCAGCAGGTCAGACACTCAACACAGCCACTCCCAAGCCCGTGCTAAGGGCTCTCTTTTCCACTTGTTCCTCCACATCTGAGCTCCTAAGGCCCCTTCACTCAGGGCTTTGGGGACACTCAATCCTCAGGTTTCTTCCTTCCTTCCCAGGAGCCAGGAAGGCTCCTTGGCCCCACCCCTCACAGCAGTGACCACAGCTGGGGCCTTGGAGCCTGGCCCATTGCTCTGGTCCCTTCTCCCACCACTCCCCATCAAGGGCTGTTAATCAGCCAGTCTGAGCAACCTGCTCCCCTGGGTGCCCTGATCCTCAGATTTTGCCTCTGCACCTCCTCCTGGCATGCCTTCACCAGCCCCACTCTCCATGTGGCATAAAAATTCCGAAATTCAGGCCGGGCGCGGTGGCTCAAGCCTGTAATCCCAGAACTTTGGGAGGCCGAGGCAGGTGGATCACGAGGTCAAGAGATCGAGACCATCCT